TTAGTAATAGATAAGTTGGTCCAAATTTGATCAATTCGGCTTTGTATATTGTTATGACTGAAAGTAAAATTATAAGTATTTGAATAGAAAACTTAGAAAATATCTTTAAATTAAAAACTAATTAGATATTGAATGATTTGACTTTCAGAGATTGATAATTTTTTTGAAGGCAATCTGTCAATTCTTGGATTTGGTATACTGTTTAGGTCTCCCATAATAATTAATTTGTATTTATTATTTTGAATAAAGAAAATTAAATAATTTTGAACTTCTTTGCAAAATTATTTTTTCTCGTAAGTTAGAAAATATATTTGAATAAGTCTGATTGACATATTTTTGAAATAAAAATCAAGACCAATTATATATTTATTGAAATTATGAGACTTGATGATATATTTGAAGATTTTTTGATGAATAAAAATTCCAATTCTAGCTTGATGAGGATTTGTATATAAGCTCCAGAAACTAACATAGTTCTAAATTTGATTGTTTAAGAATTTGTCTTCTTTGAGTAATAGATGTGTTTTAGAAAGTCCAAAAATTTCAAAATTTTCTTCTTATAAGAGTTCAGTTAAAACAAGTTTTTTATTTGCTTGTAAGAGACTATTAATATTTATTAAACCAATTTTAATTGAAAAAAATGTATGTTCAGGTGAAGTTAATGATAAGATGATTAAAGATAATATAAGAGTGTTTGGATTAGGTAATTGATCAGATGTGAAAAAGGAGGCAGAATTTGTATCAGGTATTTTCCAGTTGAGACTAGATAGTAAAGGTAGGTGGCTATATGTTTTGTAAAAAAAAGGATCTATTGTAATATGGTTTGGTAATATTTTATCTATATTATTTAAATAGATATGTGTTTCTTTTTTTGTTTAAGTTTACAGACATTTTTATTGAACTGGAATAAAGATTGTCATATAAATATTGAATAAAATTGTTTAGTATGACTAGTTCCAGTATTTGAAGTAAGTTGTAGTATTTTATAAATTTGTTGTAGCATTTGTCTATCTCTGTAGGGGTTAATCATTGAAAATAGAGATAGTATTTATAATGTCTTCTACAGATTTACTCATCATTTTAAACTCAGCTTGTACAGCTATGGAAGATACCATAATCTGTCCTGTATATTGGGTCTGATTATTATAATCCTGGTCCTTCACTACTTATTATTGATTTTAGTATATTTATAACTGATTATTATATTTAAAGTATTAAATTTGTTAAAGCAATTATTAGTTCTAACAATTTCAAAATATATATTTTTTTTATTTTTTTAAATAAAAAATATTAAACTTATTTTAAAAATTCAAGTTTTATTTAATAATTTTGCTAGTTAACATATTTGTTACAAAAATAAATTTTAAATATCTATTTTTTGAATTAAATATGATAATTAGGTTTAAGATTTACTAAACAAAGTTTAATTATAAATAATGATTAAGTAATAAAATGTATCTTATAATATAATCCTTATCATTTTTCAATTATTTTCTTTTTAATAATTTTTATAACTACAAAGAACCAAAAAACAGGTTATCTTTTCTTTGCAATTATATTTTTAAATGAATTTATTATATAACATTAATATAAATAAAATACATTAATAATTAATAATTATATTTTGTATAATGTAATAATTGATGTAATTATCAAGTACATTAGTACACCTTATTCTATAGATAAACCTTTTAATAATTATACAAATATTGTATAATTTCAAACTTAATTATATAAATTAAATATCTATTTTTGTATTATTTGATCTAAAAGATAACAATTATATCTGTCTTGTAGGATATTACTCCTATTCTATGAGATCATTTTTAGTTTATGATATCTTTAATTTTGTTAAATACTTAATACTCAACCTTTTTTCAGACTAGTAAGTATTTGATCAATAAGAAGATCGCTATTAATATAGATTCATTAATCATGTGACATACAACCAATCAAATTTGTTATTGTATTCTACAAAAAAAAGAAACACGAACATGAAAAATATACAAGTTCAAATTTATTATATAGGTTTAAAAAAATGCACTAAAAGATATTATCCATAATCACACTAGTTCTAATCATAATTAAATAACCGCATTTTTTAAGCAACTTTATTGATTTTAATATTATATTCGTATTAATAAACTTCTATCGAACAATATATTCATTTGTTCTTAACTTAAAATAGAACCTGTGCTTATCTTAAATCACTTGAGTTAAACTAATAATAAATAAATAAACTTTTAATATGCTTATTGTTAATAGGTTATTACTAGTATATACCGTAGTATTGAAATTATATGTGGGTAGTGTTAGACCCGAAACACGTGACGATTTTGTCGTGGGATCTTCGCCGTATGACCCTAAGTCACGCTCTCTCGGCTATTAGACCACCTACCTTAAATGGGTGTACCGACAGTATACACTATATCAGCTGTATAGTAAGTATCGGATTGATAATTGATATCAGTGGGATAATGGGAATTAGTGGGACCAAGAGTATAATTAAAATAATCATTATAAACATTATCATCAGTATAATTAGCATAAACGTTATTAGTATAAACGGTATATCACGAATAAAGGGTATAATGTGCTACATGTAAATGAAAGTATATAATAAAGGCTTCAAGCCCTCCAAGAAAAAGAGAGTTCGTGCTTGTAATGAAGTTTGACCCTCATAATTCCCTGGCCTTCGCTACCTTGTAAAACCTACGATCATAAACACACCACTCGCCAAATCTAACCGCCTCTTATCGACTAAGTCGTTCGTAGGTTACACGACGTATCCGTTTGAGAAGCGACCGAAACGCCGACGCCGGTTCGATGGTGTCAGTAGAAACTTAATAAACAACAATATGAATGCTAAGTCTTTGTAACTTGTTCTCTTATTTAGATTCTTCACCTACCAGATGTAACTGGATGTTTTTCAGTAACGACGAAATAAAGTACAAACTATAAATATAAAACGTTATTTAAGATTTTTTATTAAAAAAAATTTTTTTCAATAGCGAGTCGATTTACTTTATAAAATTGATAATAGATCTATATAAATAATGATCTTCCTTTTTAACCAATCAAAATAAACTTGACTATGCTGGACTAGTGAGCACATGATAAATAAAAAGTAATAAAGTCTTCTGCATCAAAAAAAAAATCAGGAAACCATTTTCTTTTAGATATTCAATTATCTCGTTGAAGAGCAAAAATGATAAGAATGGGTAAACCTAATTTATATAAGGTTCTTAAGGCATTTTCATCAGAGAGGATTCATTTACCAAAAAGGCCGTTAAACGAAAGCAGGTGGGTAGGCATCGTGCTAGTTTTATTTAATTCGTTCAGTGCTAACTTAACGAATCACAGTCTCCCTTTTCCGCTTGCCTCAGACGTTTCCGTTGAAGATTATAACTCTTTCATTGAAAATCAAGAGTCAAATATATACAAATTTGAATACAAAAACGGCTCTGTATATATAGTCGAAATGAGCTCAACTGAGCACGAAGCTGTTGTTGCCGTGCTGGGAAAATCCTTTCGTGCTCGCTGTCCTCCTGCCACTTATGCCTATAATGAACCAATACAAGTTTTCGGTACTCCATGTAAGAGAATTTCTTCCGGTTGTTTGATCTCCTACTTAATGTTTTCTAATATTTTTCATGGTCTTTCATAGTGCATCACTCACCAGCTGGAGATGGAACTAGAATTGCACCGGATCTTGCTGTCTATCCAAATCAAGCTTACATTCTAGCTCCTCCTGTTCCACATCCTGGACCACCACCTAGTGATATAAGGGTACTTTTAATTTGACATATGTAATTTATAGCTTATAGAAAATTTGATACTAATGCGGTTGATATAGGGAAACCCTCATGCAAGAATTATTTGTGAAGTAGCTATATCCCAATCTTCCTCTAACTTAAAAGACAAATGCAAGCGATGGAGACGACAATCTTACGTGCAATCTGTACTCGGCATCAAAATTTACGATATATGTGACTCACGCAATAACCCACAAGGAGCAAGAGACCGACCAATGAAGGTTCATCTTATTGTTTATTATTATACAATTTTTATGGACATAATTAACTTTTAAATATTAGGCCATACTTTGGCGACAAGGGATTCAAAAGCAGACAGTAAGTTTTACTGTTGATAATATTTTTTTCTACTTTTACTACTTGTGATGCTCAAAAGTCAAATTTTTTATGATAGTGGAGATTTGGCACTGTGAATAAAGATGGTTCCCCTACTGACACTACTGGTTGTAATGGCCCGAACGATCCTAACTATATAATCGCGATCCCTGTTAGCGACGCATTTTACGATCCTGCAATTCCTGCAATTGGATACGCAACACTGCCTCCTCCTCCTCCAGCATTGATGAATGCTATTTTTAGAATCGACTTATACGAAATTCAACAGATGGTTTTAATGCATCAACAAAAGTGAAAAAAAAACCAAAAACAAAATCAACCTTTATATTCGTTGGTTAAATATTTATTAAATGGAAATTATGAAGCATCTGATGTGTGTTTAAGTAATAATAGTAATATTATTAAAGTGATCATGTCATATATAATAATCGCGACAAAAATAAAACCCAAATTTGATTACAAGTAAAATTCATTTATTCAGTCAATATAAATGGATACTTTATTAATTCGTTATTATACAGTATATAAATAAAGATATATCAATTCTATGCTTTCACGTTTTGTTTATCAACATATACAATATATTACTTAAATCATTTATTACATTGTTGATTATACTAGTACGATGTTGCAGACCTTCTTGGGGAATTGAAAGATGGTCACCTCTGGTAAATAATTTGAATAATAATATTACTGCAAAATATCTGTACATAATAAAATTTATATAATATTAAAAAATTGTTACAGGCTCTCTTCTAGTAATTATCAAAAGTATTATTTTTTATCGGGGATTTTCCATGTATTCTGTAATTAAAAAAGATGGCACGCAGGTAAATAATTAAATATCATAATAAGATACGAAAAAAGAATGCTATACTCAACTTTAGCAAATTAAAGTTTTTTATGATATAAAAGATACTAATAATATCGATTGTCAAGTTGTAGATATAGATGACAGACTGGCGATTAATGTGATTACCGAATTTGCTAGTAATCACACAAGTTTGTCAAGAGACTTGAGTGTTCGATTTAATTCTACCCTTGCATCACTTTATTTTTGAAATGGTGACTTTAACGTTTATGGACAATTATTTACTTTACGGACTCAATTACCAAAAAATCTAACTATTTCTTACACTCTCAATTGTAATAATAAAACGTCTAAAATTACTCGAGAATGGCAAGTTCCTATTAATGCTAAATCTAATATAATTTTACAATATATATCTTATATTAATGGGACTTCAGTCGGAAATGCAAAATTACTCTTTGATGCATTTGTAGCAAGATTTTTATATTAGAAAATTTTGGAGTGGTTTTGATTTAACTGAATCTATTTTAAACACTGACACTTCACTTAAATATCGTTTATTGTCTGACATAGCAGTTGGATTTAAATTACTTGCTGATAAAGGTATTAAAAAGATAAATTGAGTTATATGCAAATGTTAACTTTTTTTATATGAAATACTAAAAATATTTTCATTTAAAAAACATATGAACCTGCTGGTTTTTGTTTTAAGTAGTAATAATGGTGGTGACATTTTTGTTGGACACTATATAAACAACTTTTATTTCCTAATATTCAAAAGTTTCCTATGGATATGAAGGTCAATAATATTTCTATTCCATCTATTGAAGAAATTTCAAAGATTAAAAATCAGATTGGAGACGTATTTCACTATCAAACATATCTTTCTATAAATACAAGTTCTTCCTTTAATAGTGTTATGGATTTTATTGGAAATAATACATATATTCGTGGTGGTGTACAGCTTCAGTACACTTCAAAAGCATTTTTTAATGATACAACAATTTATGGTGGAACTTTAAAACTTTCAACACCTACAAAACTTCCTTGGATTGAAAAAGATATTATAATTTTGACAAATGGATTATGTCAATCTACATACGCAACTATAACTCAACGGTTAGCAGAAATTAATGTTCCCACTAATTCTGTTGGTGGATTTCCAAATACTTGATTTTCTTTTGCTACATATTCTGGTGGTGCTTCATTTTCTACTAATTGTGGATATAGGCTGCAAAATATATTGAAAAGTAAAAAATTATATCTAGTCGAAAGTTTATTGTTATTAATGCCTCAATGAAAATGGTAAATAGTGTATTTATATATAGGTTACATAATTATGAATTACATATTTGCTCTCTCTTGTATATTTATTATAGTTTTATACATATCATTAGCATTTATTATTATATTACACTCATTTGACAAGCTATATTGTACTGATATCGATATATAAAATTTAATATTTTAAATTATTTAATTTACCATTTTCATCTTACAACACTCAAATATTATAATCATTCAACTGTAACAAATAGTTAATAAGGGCACTCTTAAGCACCTTCCTTAATTGACTCAACAGATAATATTACTTATCTATCCGATCAAACTGGCAATCAGATTCTTTATCAAATTCATTGAAGAGGTGCTTGAGAACGCATCAAATCTATCAAAACATGGTTGTTTACGTCGATAACACGACAACTTTTCTGAAAATTTGTTTATGATTCAAATTATAAATATACTAAAGGTAAAAGTTTTATAAATATTCTCTTCTTTATTATGTTAAAAATATATACCACAATGTATTGTGATTTAAGTATTTTTTTAAAAAAAAATTCGCAAATAGTCAGAATGGTTGTTAGAATTCATGTAGGCTAATCAACATCCTAGGAGAAATCTTAATACTAGGAACATGAAGTGTATGGTTATTGATAGAGATGGGCAAATCGCGGTTTTTCAAAAAATCCCGCGCGGGATTCATCAAATTTTAGAAAGACTTGAAAGACTAGAAGAGGCAAGAAGTACAACATGGGATAGCTTAGCCTACTGCTCCTAA